TCAACTGGCCACGAGTTTTGATCAACTGGCCACGAGTTTTGATCAACTGGCCACGAGTTTTGATCAACCGCCACGAGTTTTGGCCAAAAATCCTCCTAAACCGTAGGGCCTAAACACGGCGGGGACCCTAAACCGTAGCGGCTAAACACGGCGGGGGCCCTAAACCGTAGCGGCTAAACACGGCGGGGGCCCTAAACCGCTGGGGCTAAACACGGCGGGGCATCAACTGGTCACGAGTTTTGATCAACTGGCCACGAGTTTTGATCAACTGGCCACGAGTTTTGATCAACTGGCCACGAGTTTTGATCAACTGGCCACGAGTTTTGATCAACGAAATTTTGGTCATTAGGGTTTAAATATACATATGTAAATATAGGGTTTAGGGTTTAGGGGTTTAGGGTTTAGGGTTTAGGGTTTAGGGTTTAGGGTTTAGTGTTTAGGGTTTAGGGCGTCTCGCCGCGCAGCGGCAGTATTTTCTATGTAGGATGGCGCCCCAACACTCCCAGGGGTGTGGGGGGGCGGCATATCGACGTCTAGCGTTCGAATGCGATTCCACCACTAAACAATTACACATTGGTTCCTCACCTTTTCCCACCCGCTGTGAGAATACACAGGCTACCACCCAAAACATTGCCTTTTAGGGTTTAGCGCTTACGCCCTCAATTCCCACCTGCCCGGTCTGTCTGTGGGCCGCACCTACACACGCCACAAAACAGCGGATCAGGTCAAGTTCAGGGAGAGGCCAGGGGAGGGTCAGGGGGGCCAGGAAGGGGCCAGGGGGGGCCAGGGGGCCAGGGGGGGCCAGGGGGGGGGCGAAGCCTCTACAGGCAAGGAAAAAACGCCAGGTCTCCTCCTAGGACCCGCCAGGAGGCCCCCGGGTCCCTGGAATCTGCCAGCTGGGGGACCCCCCTGGGCCGGCCTCTGGGGCCTTTTCTGAGGGGGGGCCAAAAGGAAAACACCATTAAGGGATTTGGTCGTCGGGTTTGGGGTCTTCTAATCTCTTGAGAATCGAGGGAATTCCCTTTGCGAATATGGGCGCCACGCAAGGGGCCTAATGGCTTGGCTCAGCCCTAGGGGCTGAATTCGACCATTCTCCAATGGCTCCACCCCTTGTCCATCCAGAGTTGGTGTCAATCACTGCCGGATGTCCTTCTGGGTCCAGGCACCCTAAGAAAAAGGCTGGGTACGGCCTAAGCAGGCCTGGGTGGGAATTTAAGGTTTAGGGTTTAGGGTTTAGGGTTTAGGGTTTACGCAAAGCACAGCAGTCGTTGCCACCCCGCTTGGGCGCCCAATTCCGATGAGAGTTGTTTCGGTTTCGGAGTGCGCATGAGAGCTTAGGAGACTGGGGCCTTGGGTCGGCCGCTCCAGTTTTTCTTTTCCCGCCCGCGCCCATAAAGGGCGGCTCCCACCCTTAACCAGCTCCGCCTTTTAGGGTTTAGTTTCCTAAACTCTTTTTTTCTTTCGGAGGGTATTTTCTTTCGCAAGGTACGAGATGCGAGTTCTGCAGCAATGCATGCGGTCGTATCAGACGCGAATGCTGCAGCAACGCATGCCTTCTAAGGGTGACTGTCCTAAACTCGTTTTGTTTGAAGGGGCGTGACGGCTGGCTTACAGGAGCCAGAAGGCTATGCTACAGCATAGAAATACGATTTGTCCCAGGTTACCACATAACCCTGAAATGCCGCATCGTCGGGTACATGTCGTCGTCTGTTAGCTTAGCGACCAGTTAATGCGTTGAATCATGAAAATCGCATGCTACTGAGACACAAGATCATAAGCACAGGCTAAACTCGCACTGTCCAGCTAGCTGCTGCCTTAGATGGGATGCTTCAAGCTTGCAAGACTTGCATACTAATAGAGTTCAAGAATCCGCTGGCTACTGATAGGTAAAGACACTTCTGCACAAACCTCGTCGATCAGTTTGATTCCTGCATCGTAGGCCTCGTTCTTGACCGAACTCTATAAGTCGCATGCTACCATCCAGCTAAACTTAACAAGCGCTTCAATTTTTTTGTCAGCTTTATTTTGCCAGCAGGCAAAAATTAGCATGCTCTGTTAAACGGGCATTATGACTTGCTTGCAACTATTCCCATTCTGTCCGAATATGCCCAAGCTCTTTTGCTTCAGGTTTGTCGAAACAAGATTATGGTTGCAGGATTTTTGGCCCAATCGTATGATCCGCGCCGGGGGAATATCTGCTTTGGGTGTTCCAGTCGCTTGAATTTCAGGAAAGCATTCTGTCCGAATCTATTCCTAAATACTAAAGCTTTAGGATTTAGCGCTAAGCCCTATTCCTAAACACTAAAGCTTTAGGATTTAGCGCTAAACCCTATTCCTAAACACTAAAGCTTTAGGATTTAGCGCTAAACCCTATTCCTAAACACTAAAGCTTTAGGATTTAGCGCTCAACCCTATTCCTAAACACTAAAGCTTTAGGATTTAGCGCTAAAGCCTATTCCTAAACACTAACCTAACGCTTTAGGATTTAGCGCTAAACCCTATTCCTAAACACTAAAGCTTTAGGATTTAGCGCAATTCTTTAGGATTTAGGCACCAGAATGGGCGGAACCCCAAGATCGGCCCTTGCCCTAATTAAAATGCACATTTTATGAACAGAATTTATCACTCCAAAATCTGCCTCCGATTTTCCAGAAATCAGCCGCCAAACCCTATTCCTAAACACTAAAGCTTTAGCATTTAGCGCTAAACCCTATTCCTAAACACTAAAGCTTTAGGATTTAGCGCTAAACCCTATTCCTAAACACTAAAGCTTTAGGATTTAGCGCTAAACCCTATTCCTAAACACTAAAGCTTTAGGATTTAGCTCTAAACCCTATTCCTAAACACTAAAGCTTTAGGATTTAGCGCTAAACCCTATTCCTAAACACTAAAGCTTTAGGATTTAGCGCTAAACCCTATTCCGAAACACTAAAGCTTTAGGATTCAGCGCTAAACCCTATTCCTAAACACTAAAGCTTTAGGATTTAGCGCTAAACCCTATTCCTAAACATTAAAGCTTTAGGATTTAGCGCTAAACCCTATTCCTAAATACTAAAGCTTTAGGATTTAGCGCTAAACCCTATTCCTAAACACTAAAGCTTTAGGATTTAGCGCAATTCTTTAGGATTTAAGTACCAGAATGGGCAGAACCCCAAGATCGGCCCCTGCCCTAATTAAAATGCACATTTTATGAACAGAATTTATCACTCCAAAATCTGCCTCCGATTTTCCAGAAATCAGCCGCCAAACCTTATTCCTAAACACTAAAGCTTTAGGATTTAGCGCTAAACCCTATTCCTAAACACTAAAGCTTTAGGATTTAGCGCTAAACCCTATTCCTAAAAACTAAAGCTTTAGGATTTAGCGCTAAACCCTATTCCTAAACACTAAAGCTTTAGGATTTAGCGCTAAACCCTATTCCTAAACACTAAAGCTTTAGGATTTAGCGCAATTCTTTAGGATTCGCCAGCGCAGTTTTTGGACTGCGAGGGCGCCCCGGCCAATTCCGCTTTCAAGCTCTTTGAAGCATTTTCCCTTCCTTAGGGGTCGGCGCAAAGTGCAAAAGTGTTCATCGGCGCAAAGTGCAAACCTTTGAAGCAATTCCTCTTTCCTATGGGGTCCGCGCAAAGTGCAAAAGTTCGGCGCAAAGTGCAAAAGTGTTCATTACGTCTTCTCGTTTTGGTGTCTGCGCCAGCAGCTGCATCCCTTTCTTTTGAGGGGCTGGCGCTTAAGCCTTAAAACTCGTTGTCTGCACCGCGATTGTTCTCTGTTGGTTCGGGCTAGACTAAATTGAGGCTTTCTTATTGTTATGGGTTTGCTGGGGTTTGGTAAAAACGGCGGTGTTTGACAATCATGTTTTCCGGCACTTTTTTCGGGTTGGGTCGGGAAACCTTTCAAACTTTTCTGGCGCGGCCGGGTCCCCCCTCGCGAAGTTTCAGGGGTGCGAGGTGGGTTGGGGCTCGGAGGCGGAGGGGTCCGAGTGCGAGCATCTCACCCGAAGGCTTTCTCTGGCTTAAGGGGGTCCATGTGGACTGCGCTCACAGGCGCCCCGAGCATCTCCCACGAAGGCTTGCTCTGCTTTAGGGGGGCTGGTCCTTAGGTCCTAAAGTTTTGCGTCTGCCTCTCGATTGTTTTCTGTTTGTTCGGGTTAAGTTAGGTTTAGAGCCCTGTGAGTGTTAAGAGATTGCCGGGTCTTGGTGGTTCTTGTGGTTTCACTGCTTTAAGGGGGCCGTTGCTTAAGTCTTAAAAGTTGTCGTCTGCTCCGCGATTTTTCTCTGTTGGTTCGGGCTAGGTTAAATTGAAGCTTTGTTAGTGTTGAGGGATTGCCGGTGTTTGGGGGTGCTTGTGGTTTCACTGCTTTTAGTGGGCCGTTGCATAAGCCTTCAAACTCGTCGTCTGCCCCGTTGTCTGCTCCGCGATTGCTCTCTGTTGGTTCGGGCTAGACTAAATTGAGTCTTTCTTATTGTTGAGGGTTTGCTGGGGGCGGGGCACCTTCCCACAGCCAGGGCCCGGGGCCGGGGCCCCTCCCCACAGCCAGGGCCCAGGGCCCGGGGGCGGGGCACCTTCCCATCAACCCCAAGGCCCCAAGGCCGGACCACCTTCCCACAGCTAAGAGGCCGGGGAACCTTCCCACAGCCAGGGCCCGGGGCCAGAGCACCCGGGGCCGGGGCACCTTCCCACAGCCAGGGCCCGGGGCCGGGCACCTTGCCCAAAAGCACAAAAGCGGCGCAAAGCCCAAAAAGCGGTGCAAAGCCCAAAAGCGGCTTCGGGCGCCGCTATCGAGCCTCGTCAAAGCCCAAAAGCGGCCTAGGGCGCCGGTATCGAGCCTCGTCATGGCACGCCCTGGAAGTTGCAGAATTGCTGTGTGTCAGTCTTTGCCTCTGGGTTACTTCGTGTTATCGGTCTAAGCATTTTGAACGGTCGAGGTTTCATGAGTTTTGTGAGATATGCTTCCTTCACGAACCAGTGGCTGCGCAGCTGCTCTGATGAGTGCGTCTATGCTATGCCGTCGTGTACCATCCATGTTCCTTGCTGCGGGACTTTTCCTCGCGTGGCTGCCCCCTGTCCATTGCGAGGTCTGCCAGCACCACTATGCCTACATGCACGTTCCACACGTCCGGTCTCCGCCGATATCTTGACTTTGCAACTCCGCGATTCTTTGTCTTATCCACTAGCGGCTCCTTGTCAAATCTGACCTCTGAGGTAGGATTTCGGGCCAAGCAAGTGTAACCTACATAAATTTCACTTGCGGAGTCGCTTCTGTTTCGAGACTCTGCATTCCGGACAAAGCTTTGGCCGCGAGTCTCCTGGTGCACGAATTTCTTGGAATACCTTCTGGCATTGCTGGTTCTGGCACTTGTGCCATCCTTTAGGAGCCCTGGTGCCGTGAATTGCGCAGTTCAAGCAATGATTATTGCTGGCATTGCCTGCTGCAACCAGGGGAAAGGACTGCTTGCAACCTTGACATAGGAACCAGCCTCCTCGGAGGCGCTTCGCTTTCGGATGCACCTCCTCTTGGCAGTCTTTGCATGCCGCGCAGCCAGGTGGCAGGGTGCACATGGTGGACTCGAAAGCGTTGGCAGGCTTGGTCTTTCCGCAGATAGAGCATGTCAGGGTGCATTGATTGCGAGCACATTGTGTACACACCTTCTTGACATCCGGTCCTCCTTGCTGGCGCAGCTGCGCCACCGGGAATGCCGCCGCCATCTTGTGGCAACCACAAACGTCGCACAAGTGCTTGGTGAAGATCTCGGAGTCCCCGCTGATCTTGCGCTTGATGGAGCCTTTGCCGCCCTTCTCGCAGTGCAAGCACTTGGCCGCCCTGTTGGCTCGCACTTTGCCCCACTCGACGAAGGAGAAGTTCGCGAAGTCTTTCACGTGGCCACAACTGCCGCAGGCAGCGAAGGGGTTCCTGCTCTCGCGCCAGGCCTTCCAATCGACGCGCTCTTTGCGGAGAGTCTTCAGCAGCAGATCGGGCCCTTCGGGCGCTCCGCGCTGGAACAGCCAGAGTGGGAAGGGGCGCAGAATGAGCACGTCCTCGCGGCTGCGGACACGGCTCGCCGCCACGGTGCCCAGGGTCTGGTGGACGTTCTTGTCCACGTTCAGGTCGAGCAGCGTGGCATCCAGCGTCTTGCCCTGGCTGCTGTGAGCCGTCATCGCGAAGGCCGGGGTCAGCTGCAGCTGCTTTCCTTCAGGACTTTTGGTGCGAGATTGGTCTACAATCAATCTAAATTCTCATATTCCTGGCCAGCTGTTTTCAAGCTGCTTTCAAGAAGAGCTGCAAGGCACAGTGGACTACCTGCAAGTCCTGACAAATATTTGAAACGGACGGTTCTTCAGGCCAATGCAGCTAAGCGTCGTTTCACCTTCAGGACAGGGTGTTCGCGCCCGTGGTCCAGATACCATGTTTCTGTTACAGGCCGCAGGGGATAGATGCCGGGCTCGGGCGTGCCGGGAAGCTGAAACTTGACGTCCGGGAATTTGACGTACACCACTTCGGGCTGCTGGTCGTTTTCGGGCCACACCCAGGAATGCACGTGACCGCAGCGCCCGCGCAGCAGGAACTTGTCGGACCGGTCCACGTGGTCGGTGAGGGCGACGGGCATGCCGATAGCGAGGGGGAGCAGGCCGCAAAGATCTCCCGTATGTCGGTCGTGGTACTGCAGCCATTTTCTTTTTCCCACTTGCTGCAGTCCTCGGCTTGAAGAGCTTTGGCCTCCGCCACGTCCTTGGCCACCGACCACCTGAGAGGAGCTCCGGACTCTTTGCTGTAGGCTCTCGCCTTGTCTTTGTTGATCTGGTAGCGAGCGTCGTTATTGGCCACGATGACCACCGCCTTCCGGAACTTGGCCTCCTGCAGCCGCTGATCTGCGTCGGAGATGATGACTCTGCGGCGCGACTGCCTCTCCGCCTCCGACAGGGTGCAGCCTTCCACAGGGATGCCGTGCAAGTACTTCCAGTTCTCTTCCGACAGGCAGCCATGCCGAAGTTGCTCCACCACCTCGTTCCACCACTCGTCGGAGCACCGCAGAGTTTCCGTCAGCTCGGTGACGCCTTGGACCGCCCCGCGCCAGAAAAGGTCCCGACCGCGCTCGACGAGAGGGTCCGTGCTCTTGTCGACCCCGGTGGCAGACTTCAAGCTGTGGGGAACGTCCGCAATGAAGCCGCCCTCCGGCGGCGGGAACTGGAAGAAGTCGCCCATGAAGATCATGTTGATGCCGCCGAAATCTCTTTCACGCCCGTGACCGTCCAGCTTGAACTCGTCTTTGCTGCTCTTGTTCTCCCGCTGTCGTTGCTCCATGCGGGCCAAGAGCTTCGCGCTGACCATGCTGATCTCGTCCACGATCACCCACCGCCTGAAGCGGATGGCCTGAACGAGAGGATTGTCTCCCTCGGTCGGCTGCCCACTCTTGCTGAAGCCGTAGGCCCTGTGTATGTTCTTGCCTCGGATGTCCACCGCGTTCACTGCTTGGAGCGCCACGACCTCGTACTCGTGGCCCTGGGTGTACTTGAGCAAGTCTTCGAAGAGCTCGCGGAGGAACTGCAGGATGTGGGACTTGCCGACGCCGGGCGGCCCGTGGAGCAACCAGATCAACGGCTCTGAAGTCTTCCGGATGGAATCCCCCGGTCTGATGAGGTTGAGCTCCACCATGACTCTGTCCACGACGAGCTCGAGGAACTCGTGCTGCTTGGCATTCACGGCCCCGCGCACTCGGTCGCTGTGGAGCCAGTCGAGGAGCTTGGCGGCGGTCACGGGCTCCTGAGCCTGCAGCTCGGGGCTTCGCTCGTCCCTGTGCGTGGTTCGTCTATCCTGTCCTTTGTCGCCTCGGACCCGCGAGTCGATGGCGGCTTGCCTCGCCCGCTTATGGTCCGTCACGGGATCCTTGGCGGATAGCTCGCGGAACCTGTTCCTGGCCTCCGAGTCGGGTCCACCTTCATCGTTTCCTTCCAGCCAAATGGCTTGCGACAGCGCGAACATCTTCTTGGTGCGGTCGGCGTGCGTCTGCACCTCCTTGCCCGCGTCGCCAGACCCCCCTCGAACGTGCGTTTCCATGGCGAGTGTGAGGTCGTCCTGCGGGCACCGACTCAAGCCTAGAATTTAAAACCAAGCTCAAGGGCAATGGTCGTTGCAAAAATGCTTCACTACCTGGGCTTGCAAGGTCCTGGTCGAAGAAGCAGGGCACGTCCTCCAAGTCTTCGTTGTCGCTGTTGGCTTCCAGCTCCGTGCCGGGTTGGAGCTCCCGCGGCAGGCAATGGACGAAGCAGAGCTGGGCGGCATAGCGCTTCACGGACTCTGTGGGGAAGCCGCGTCGGCCCAGCCAGAGCCGCGCGGCCTGGAGCCAGTCCGTGGCCCCTTGGTCGCGAGCAGACAGGTCTCCGAAGGCCACGAGGTCGTCCTCCGAGGCGTCTCGGCGATCATTCACCCAAGGACGAAAGAGCAGAAGGAGCTTCATGGCCTGGTCGTCCGCGGTTTGGTTGCCGCCCTGCGCGCCGAAGAGCACCGGCACGTACGGCCGCTTGCGCGGCACCATGACCCAGTCGTGCTTGAAAGGCTGGGCGAGCTCGGGTTCGCCGAAGGGGATCCACTCCTCGTCGGGGCCAGGCTCCCGAATGCGATAATCGACCCCCGGCGAGAGCTTGGCTTGGAAGCGATGCCAGCGCACTTTCTCCTTGCCCGCCTCCGTCAATTGAGCCTCGTGGCGGAGCGGGTGGTGCTTCTCCCCGTCATCGTCCGACTTGATGCTCCAGGGATGGGTCGCTCTCTTGAACTCGAAGTGCATGGCAAACTCGTACGCCGACAGCTCATGGACGCGCGGATCTCGGCCGCGGGAGCCGTAGAGCGTCCAGAACGGACAGTGCCTCACCGCTCGCGGCTGCTGCTGCTTTCTCCACTTGGGTTCCGTGGTCCAGCGCTGCGGCTCTGCGGGCCAGGCTTCCGCGTCGGCGGCTGCCTGCAGCAGGTTCAAGCCGTACCACAGCGGAAGGCCCACGACTGGCGCGGTGCGTATGGACTCCGCTTCCACGGGGTCGCCGTGCTTGCTCCGCGTGATGAGGTTGCTGCATTCCACGGCACCGCGACAAACCCCTCGACCGAAGCTGTCTGTGATGAAGCGGTTCTCCACCCGTGAAGCCACGTACCCGGCTGGCTTGCCCTTCAGCTCTTCTGCGAGCTCCTTGTTCCCCTTGTTCCACTCCTTGATCTCGTGGATGGCGATGGGGAGGCGCTTGTTCTGGTAGTCGCAGCCGTAGCCTGCCTGGGCGGCCTGGTTCCGCTGGGCTTCTCGACCCAAGGTTCGCACGGCTTGGCTTTTTCCGCGGCAGCTCTCGTCCTGGCATTTGTGGCTGTGAATGTCTTCGTTGATCGGGAAGCGGTAGGGCAGCTGCAGATCGGAATTGCAGCGAAGCGCCGCCAGCAAGGCAGGGTGGGTGCCGTTGAGCTCCGGGTCGTTCACCGGACCCCAGAGGGAGCCGAGCATGCTTTTCTTGCCTTTGATGGGCATGTCCATCTGCTTGGCCAGCCCTTCGCAAACGATCAAGGTCTCCTCGGTCAGCTGGTTGTAGCGCGGGAAGCCGGACTTGCACTTCGTCGGGTCCCGCTTATCGCGGCAATGCGAGAGAGGAAGTCTGGGCCCTTGCGGATCCGTGTCCTTCGGCAAATGGACGTGGTGCTGCTTGTGCTTCTGGAGCTCCTCCACGTCCTCCTCCAAGTGTTTCTGTTTCCAGGCTTTCGCGGAGAGCAGGGCATCGCTTTGATAACCGGGCCGACTGAGCATGAGGACTGAGCTCCGGTACTCCGGCCATTCCTTTTCCACGGCGTCGCGCTCCTTCTGCCAGACCGCCGGATTGCAGTACACGGTGCGCCTCACGTGGGCGTTGTAGGCCTTGTACTTCTCCACCAAATCCATGTAAGCTTCTCTGCCCATGGCCACGATCTCCGAGAGGGGCGTGTACTGGTGGAGGCACTGCAAGAACACTTGGAAGTGAGCGTGTAGAGCGCCGCTCTTCTGGCATTCGATGGAACCGAAGGCTGCATCCACTCTGCCCAGTACTCCGCCCGTGGCCGTGGCATTGCTCCCGAATGCGTCCGTGCAGGGCTTGTCCGACTTGGCGCAGTTCGGACAGTTTGGGCACCAGCGAATCCCGAAGAGATGCCGCAACACCAACTGCACCAACGTCCAGAAGCCATCAGCACAGGCAAGAGGGTCTCTGGCCAGGATCGCCCTCCGCTCGTCGTAGTCTGGCAGGATTGTGGCCAGCACCTGAGGGTCCAGCTCCATGAAATCCTGGTCCAGCGGCGGTTGGCTCCTTTCTTGACAAGTCGGCTTGCCGCTCTGCTGCAGGGCGGGGTCCGTGTCTCGAGTTCTCGCTAGCCTCAGCATCAGCGTGGAATCCCTCTCCGAGGGCGAAAAGGTCAGGAAGACGGAAGTGCCGTAACACACTCTGTATGCGTGGGTCTGCTGCCGCATGAGGTTCCTGGTCTCGTGGGTCCCTGGGATGTTGCGGCACTTGGCGTTGACGTCCTGCGCTATCTTTTTCGCAGTAGCCGATAGTCCCGGCACGTGCTGGACTTTGGAGAAGTCGCCTTGCACGCTCTTCTGGGCGCCGGTGATGTCCACGTACTTCCCGCGCTGCAGATGCTCTCGAAGCTCCGTCGACCCCTGAAGGAACTCCTCGCCTGTGATCTTCTTGCCGCCTTGGGAGTACAAGGAGGTGCTGCCATCCAAGTTCACCATCGTCCGAAAGAGATAGTTCCACAGAACGAAGCCGAAGTTCCAGTCTCGACGGAACTGGGCTTCCACTCGGCGGCCCATGATGGCAGCCCAGTCGTGGATGTCGACGGTCGGGGCAGCGGAATCCTTCTGACGCCTCCGACTGACCGATGGGTTCTTCTTGTTGAGGACGTCTGGACACGCGGTGCCGTGCTTGAAGCAGAAGGCGAAGGCCATGGCGAAGTAGCGGGGCTGGAACTGGTCGACGAGAACGTTCCCCGTGGTCGCCACCAAGGTCTCTGCTTTCCTCTCTGCAATCTTGTCCACTGCCTCCAAACTTGTGAGAGCTGCCATGCCCACGGCATTCTGGTCCTGTCGGTCGAGGCTGCTGCCCTCCGCCACGATGGCTCGCGGCCGCTGCGCCGAGAAGGTGGCGCCGGCCTGACTGCAGGATGCACGCTGCTCAATTGACAAACCGGTTTGCTTGCTCCAAGACTCTGCCGCTGACAAATTCTCGTTAAAGTTTCCCTGCCTGATCGATGCTCCTGAGGCCGTCAACCGGCGTGGCGGCTTTCTGCGGCTGCAGCTTCTCCTGCGAGTCGTCCAGCTCGCCGAAGATCTTCACGACTTCGGGCGGCACACCGTCCTCCGGCAGCGAGCTTGCCTTCTCCCTGATTTTCTCTTCTTGGATTTCTTGGAAGGAAGGGTGTCCGCAACGGCGCATGTCCAAGATGAGCTGCACCACCACGTGCCGCCGGACTCTTGCCTGGTGAATCAAGTTCTTCAAGTCCGCCTCGGAAGTCTGGCCCGTCTTGTTGGTCTTGAGGATCACCCGGACGACGTCTGAGAGCTCGTTGGGGTTCCGGGGTAAGTCGGAAGGGCTGGTGTCCTGGCCCTCCAGCTTACGAAGCAGGTCCTCCCAAGGCAAAGGAAAGGTAATCGCATTGCCACGGGCGCCCAAACGATGGCGCGGCATGTGAGCCGTCTGGTCCAAGGGCGCTCCCTCCGCCCGGTAGCGAGCCTCCATCGTCAAGCAAACGAGGGTCGTGATGTAGGGACTGGCGCACAACATTTCCATGACCGTCACGTTGTCCTGGTAAAGCCTTTCGGGGCCGTAGCCTGTCCACATGTCATTTGCGAGGCTCGCCGGAGGCAGCTTCTTCCTGCCCAAGCAGTCCAGGCAACTGCGACAAACCGGCACCTCGCAATGCTCGCACAGAACTCTGGCGCGTGGATGCTCTGGATTCCTTGTGCATCTGTGATCTTCGGGGCAGCAAAGCAAGCGAACGTGCTGTGCTTCCCCTGCCAGTTTGAGGTGCCAGTTCTCGAAGTCTTCGAAGTCCGTTAACTTCGTGTGTTCGACCAGATGGTCGTACTTTCCAAGGAACTGGTCCAATCCCAGGAGCTGCTCGATGACCTTCACGGGCTGGCCGAGGAACTTGTTCGTCTGCTCCAGAGGACGGTGCCACTGGATGTCGCCCCGAGCTTCCGTCTCCGCGATGCGTGTGTAGCTGCAAGCACAAGAGAAGCAGATCAGGGACTCCACGTGGTCCTCAGCAGTCGCTTCTGCGAACTTTTCCAGGGCCATCCGGTCGAGCGAGCTGCCCGCCAGGGGAGCGGCCGAGCGGCACTTGACGCTCAGAGCAGCATTGTAAACGCTGAGCAGATCGCGCTTGTCATGATGGCCATTCCAGAGAAGACTTGCTAGGGGATCGAGGTCGGCGCCATGCTGCTCGTGGAGATGCTGAAGCAGGTCGTCCTCCGTGCCTTTTCTGGCCGTCCACAAGCAGCCGCTGAACGCACAGAAAGCATGGGGCCACGCCTCGCCCGCATCCACTTCTTCCGGCAGCGCAAGAGGCGGGAGTGTGGGATGGTCTCGAAGCCTGGTCGTCGCCAGCTTCGTAACGGCATCCTCCATTTGGCGATGCGGATGGGTGGATGCCGGCGTCACGACGGTCTTGCACACCTCGTCCAGGATGTCGTCCCCGCTGTCAGGAAGTTCGAGCGCAGTGACGGACTCCACCGATCTGGGCTTCTTGATCGGCGGCAATGCATCGTCGAGTTCCAGCGGCGGCAATTCATTCGGCAGTCGCCAGTACCTCACCGGCCATGTCTGATCTTTCCACGCGGGCACCAGCAGTGCCACATCTTCGGCTTGCACCAATGCATCGTAATGGTCTTGTCCATTATAGAACACATGAACCGTGGGCAAATCAGCGAGATTTTGAAGATCACGATGGGTGGAGTCGATTGCGACGATAGAGCCGTCGGGAAGGCGCGTGTGCACGTGCACGCGGCATTTCTTCATCAGGGAGAAGGCCACGATGGAGTTGTTTCCAGCCCAAGCCTCTTCTGATCCTCTTTCCAGATGTTCCGCTTCTTCTAGCCAGCTCTCTGCGAAGTCGCCCTGCTCGAATGCATGGGCTGTCAAGAAGCTTGTCACCTCCCGGCGAAGAGCCTGTCCCAGGTCTGCAGGAAGAGGCCTGGCACCGTTCTCGTCCTCCATCGTTCGCTTGTGACCATGGGCCAGCGCGTGGAACAAGCAGTCGCCGTCCGCAACCATCTTTACCATCTGCAAGAAGGTCGTGTCCGGAGCAGCAGGCACCTGCACGCGAAAGGGTTGAATGCCCGAGCGAATTAGCAAACAAGCTTAGCGAGCGTTACATGTAAAATGAACAACGCAACCGATGGGCAGGGGAGTTGCCTCGCTGGTGCTGGAACTGCACATTGCTGTCGCGGCCTGTGCGATTGCTGCATCGAGGTGCCGAACATGCAGAGTTCTAGTTGCCAACTCTGGCGGTCCGTGCCCAAGCCTGGCACTCGTCCGCAGCGGCCGTGTTGCCACAAAGAGCCTCGCAGGACACGCCTTCACCATCTGGAAAGGTTACACCGTGCTTCAGTATGTGCTTGCGGCACTTCTTCAGGCACTGGCATGCTGCAGCCGATTCCGCTGTCTGCGACCCATCGTCCACATACTTATGACCATTGTGTCAGCACGGTTGTCGGGATGCAATCTCCGATGACCTTGGAAGCAATGAAAATCAAATTGAACTGATGTGATCTGGAGAATGGGAACAGAATGGCTCCGAGCCCCGTGCTCGAGAGCAGATATGCCAAGCTGAAGGGATCCTCACAAGCGGCCCAGATGGCTGGGCAGTGAAATGCTTCTACGCGCAGCCAAAATAATGGGCGAGCCCGCCTCGGTGCTGCTGCTGGGCCTGACGTTTTGCGTGTCGTTCACGTTGGTCGTTGCCTGTCTCCGTCGCCGTGCCGTGCGGCGATGCCGCTCCGGGCGTGCTGTTGCACCGCTTGTGTCGCCGCATTCGTGCGAGGAAGCTCTCGCAGTGGCCCTTTCGGCCTGCAGCTGCTCGGAATGAACACTCGGTCACCCGGACGTTGCTGCATCCCGCGCCTCTGCCAGTTGAAAAGCATCTTCGAGTGCGGAATCGTCCTCGGCCGTCCACTGTGTTGGCTTCGGTAGTGTCGGTGCGGGAGCCTGCAGATTGATTGCAAAGTATCTGAGTCTTTCAAGCGTTTGCAAGGGCGGTGCCTTCTTGCGTCGGTGCACCCGTTGCTGTCCACTTGGGCGATGGGCCGACCTTCGTGTCCGGGAGGTCGTCGGATGCGTCTTCCATGCCTCGGTCCGGGCACATTGTGTTGATTGCTGTTCGAGGCCCGCAAGCAATCGCCTCGTCGATTTTGATCATTCCGGCCTCGCTGGGTTTCGTGCAGGAGCAATGCTATTCATGGGCCAGCTGTTGTATGCATTGTGTTCTCTAATGAAGTTCTGGGACGGGGACGGGCGTCTTCAGCGTCAGGGCGCACTGCGTTGCCAGGTATTGCTTCTTGAACGCCTCAAAGTCGAAGCACCATCCCGCCCCCTGTGCGCGGCAAGATCTGGCGATCTGTCTTTCTTCGTCTCCGCCGTTTTGTTCACTCGCTCTCTCTCTCGCTCTCTCTCTCTCTCTCTCTCTCTCTCTCTCTCCCCCGGTTTCTCTGCTGTTGGTCCTTGGTTGGAAACAGGAAGACAGGGACTGAGTGCGGGAGAGTCTGTACGCCGTACGCCTTGACTGCTAGCTTGCTTCATGCCACCTGCCCTTATGTCACTCTGTCTCTATCTCTATCTCTCTCTGTCTCTCTCTCCCTCGGTTTCTGTGCTGTTGTTCCCTCGCTTCTAACAGGAAGGCAGGGACTGAGTGCGAGAGAGTTTCTACACCTTGACTGCTAGCTTCCTGCATGCCGCCTGCTCCTCCTCGTCCTCGATATCGGCCCATCGGCGGCGGTTGCTCGGGTACATGTCCATTTGACCTGCAGGGCCGGCTCAGAAGCTTCTGCTGCCGTTCCGTCTCTGCTACTGTCGGAAGCGGCTTCGGCCTAGATAGTCGCTTCGCGGTGCGGAACTTTTTGCTTTTGATGCTCTTGAGCACGAATTGGGCTGCGGTGCCTGGTTAGTGTTAGTGTGCTCTCATTGCAGGGACCACGGCAGCGACATTGGCTTGCAGTTGGTTCCAAGCAATTTTTCCAGCTCGCTCCTTGTCGTCCCGTCCTCATCAGTACCACCTATTTAAATGGGCCGGGGCTGTCTCGATCAAGGCATCGGCCTTCATGTCCAGGCTGCAAGTAGCAGACGTCCGCATCTTTTTTTTTGTTGCTTCTGCTGCTGTGGCTGCCAGCCGCGATGCTCCGTCACAGCCAGCGCACGGCATAGGTTGAGCGAAACGAAAGATTCTTTTCTAGTTCCGCGCTGTCAGCATGTCCCACATGTCATGGGAAAGGGCCAATGTGACCAGTTGCCCGTCGAACGCCGTGCACACTGCTTGGTTGCGGCTCCTCAGACGGCCTTGGGCTGCCACTGCTAGGGCAGCGGATGCAGCAAGCTCTTCCATCTCCGGCAAAGAGTTTGACATGCCGGTGATTCGCAGCAGCTCCCCGCCGGCCACCGTCGTGAACACCGCATCCACAGCATTTTGCGAGACAGGTGTTATGCTGCAGGCGACGACGAAGGGTGAGGGCACTTCACGGACGTAGACTTTCCCGGCAGGATAGTTGATCCAAGTATCATAGTCCAGCTCTTCAGCTTCGAACACAGCAACCTGAGCATCTGCTGGGTGCCACTGGACGAATCGGCACTGCAGCCTCTCCACGGGATCGGTGGAAAAGAAGTGCAGATCCCATCGAGGAGTTGCTTCAGTGGTAAAGGCCGCACCGTCCGAGTCAATCAATGACCACGAGCCAGGACCGCCTTCCAAACACCGGCTCCACTCCAGACAGCGGCCGTCCATCTCGTGGGTGCTCTGAAGGCAAGCAAATGCAAGCTTTGAGCCGCAAGAGTGAGGCTGCGGAATACAGGGTGCAATGCTCAAGCAGCATCTGCAAGACTGGAAGCTACATGCTTCGATCTCCGCCGCTCTCCCGCACACCTGGGAAGACTCGGGAACGATGCTCTGGGCCGAGCATGTTTTCACTCGTGCGCCAGTTGCCTTCCTTGTGAAACCAGTATCATTTCCACTTGTATTCCAGCTGAAAGACGGTATGCCTCTACCTGGAACACAGCTACGTACAGCTACGAGGGAGCTTTCCAAGTAAATTTCCTTCATACAGAGGACGGGAATATGGATTGCCAGGTGGTTCGCAGGCTCCCCACGCCGATTTTCTTCATAAAGCGGACGAAGGTGACGATTGTCAGGTGATTCGCAAGCTCTCCAAGCCGATTTCCTTCATAAATTGGACGAGGATATGTCAGGCGGTGGGCGGGCTTCCCAATTGAACTCCGGGAGTCCTCGCTTAGTCGTACCTTGGCATTGGAAGGGAATCACTGTAAACACAAGGCAAGTATGAACATGTCTAGTGGCAGTCCAGATGCGACCAGAGCTGTACCTTGGCTGTGACATGATGACAGCTGGTTTGGGTTGCTTTATGCTGCAAGCGAGACCTGACAGCCAGAGCTTCTGCCAGTGATGTCTTCATCTGTCGGGACTCTTTTATGGTGGATGGGCTTCTGCCGAAGCTGCTCGCCTTGGTTGTGCGTGGAGTTCTCGCAGGCAACGCGTGCGCATGAGGACTTTACCGCCTGCGAGTTTCGAATGGCTTAGCTGCATTCTCCGAGTCTCCCCAATTGTGGGCCGATTCCTGACGAGGTTGAAGGTCTTGGCTGAGGTCGATTGTGAGATACTGGCATTACGATTTAGCACGAGGCCGACAAAATGGGTTTGAGATGAGAGCCCGGCGTGGTGGTCTTCAACATCGAACATGCAAAGATTTTTGAAAGCACGTATTGCCTTTGTAGGGACTCTCAATCGTGGATGGGTCTCCAGTCTTGGGCCGAGTGAAGGGAAAGTGTAAACGTGCATGCGTGTAGCTGCAGCTTGGTGGCCGTCTTCCGTTGCCGGCCTCGTTGGTTGTACCTTGGCATCGGCAAAGAAGGAATGCAAACACAAGACTAACGAACACGAGCACGGACATGTTTAGTTGCAGCCGAGTCGCTTGCACCAAAAATCAGTCCTTGGCTTGGACATGTTCAGTGAATGCATGCGTGGGAAGTATGAGAGTGTGAAGGTCTTCGAAGGCACCCCCCAGCGTACTTAGTACTGGGATGGCCTTATTTTAGGTGCCTTATAAGAGAATGTCCCGCAGCACACGCTCCCTGCTTCCCCGATGTTTCTGGTCGGATTGAAACATCCTTCGCCCATATGTGTTCACCGATTGGAGATAGATCGGATCCCCGGTAGTAACGCGCACCCGCGAGCGAGTACACGCGTTCCCGTTGACAGGCTCAATGGGAAGCCCCCTTGGCCCTTGGCACTGAGGAAAACAAACCGATCCTCGCGCAAAGCGCGTCCGTGGCACACATCCCAAAAGTATGCCCGCGGCCTACTTTTGGAATGCTCAAGGAAGGCACCTCGGCTCTTTTTAGGTATTTGGAGGCCGCTTCGCTAGTGAACTGGCGCGTACAGCAGTCGCTGTAGTTCAACGCCATTACTAGCTTCCAAAAGACAGTTAGCATGCTCCCTTAGGGGGCGAGCGGAGGGTCCAAAAGCGCATTGTGTGTACGCGCGCGGGTCGGGGAAATCCTGGTCCCCGGGCGGTCGTAGATTGACGGTGGGTGTCAATTTTGCCCGGCTTCAAGACTGCTTAAAGCCCTTTGAAATAACTTCGGAAGCCACTTAGAACGTTTTAAAACCACTCTGAGCCTTTAAAAACCTCTCAAAACCTGCAAAAACTTGCAACCAGGCCACCCACAACGCCAAAGTGACAATCTCCAGGCCCCAAAGTGACAATCTCCAGGCCCCAAAGTGACAATCGCCAGGCCCCAGGTGACAATCTCCAGGCCCCAAAGTGACAATCGCCAGGCCCCGAGTGACAATCTCCAGGCCCCAAAGTGACAATCGCCAGGCCCCAGGTGACAATCTCCAGGCCCCAAAGTGACAATCGCCAGGCCCCGAGTGACAATCTCCAGGCCCCAAAGGGGTGGCAATCTTAGGGGGTCTAGATTGTCAGAAGGCGGCAATCGTAGGGGGGTACAGATTGCCAACAGGTGGCAATCACAGGGGATCTAGATTGTCAGCAGGTGGC